GTCTCCTACACCGCCTGGAGGGGAGGGGGAGTATTGTAGTGGACGTCTCCCCTACCACCTGCTATCACATTCCAATGTGCCGCCTTCCCTAGCAACCAACCAGATGTTACCGTATCTTAGCAACGAAACTATTCACCGGCTACTTCTCGGGTTTTCCCACCATGACTCATAGCGGCTGCTGCGGGGTATATAAGCTCTGTCTCTCCCTTGAGATTCAGTCTGACCAATCTTCTTGAACAAGCAACACCTCCTCCTCAGCCGCTGCCTGGCAGCCTTCGCTCCTCCTCGCCTGCCTGGCGGCCCTCGCTCCCGCCAGCGAGCATGGCGACCCACCAGCTGTCCTCTGAGCTTCCTCACCAACCAACTCTCATTCTGCCCACCTTCCTGAACAAGCAACACCTCCTCCAGCACCTCCAGCACCAGACTGTCTATCATATATCTTATATTATACAAGAAAACCACATTAGAGTTTCCTTCCATCCTGAGTGCTAGACAACATTAATACCTCGATACCCCTACAATGGTGACCCCGGAGATTAGCACTCACACAGGATGGAGGAGACACTGATCACGCTCCCAGTCTTCAAGCAGCACATCCTACCGACCCCAGCGCACCCGTCCTGCCTCAGACGCCGACCCCGGCCCAGCAGCAACCCCTGACGCGGCCTCTGTTCCTGAATCCAGACCCACACACACCCTCTTTTCTCCCTCAGGTACTCCCTGCTAATGTCCTGCACCCTGCTGCTGTCGTGGACCCAGCTGCTGTCACGAGCCCTAATCCGCTTCTGCTGACCCAGCCCCTGCTCCTGATCCAGGCCCACACACACCCCAGCAGGCGCATCTGACGACTCTGTACCTGTCGTGAGGGAAGCACAACATTCTTCGCCTCCACACACCCTTTTTCTCCCTTCTCCCACAGATAGTGTGTATCTAGACAGTTGTATTTCAGCGATCGGCTCATCACGCCATCGCCGTTGTCTCACATGAGGCATGCACCGCCCGGTCTTCCTCACATGTGCTAAGCAACTCTACAATCAACAAGTCTCCTACACCGCCTGGAGGGGAGGGGGAGTATTGTAGTGGACTTCTCCCCTACAACTGCCTACAACTGCGTAGCAGCTCACCACCTGCTATCGCATTCCAATGTGCCGCCTTCCCTAGCAACCAACCAGATGTTACCGTATCTTAGCAACGAAACTATTCACCGGCTACTTCTCGGGTTTTCCCACCATGACTCATAGCCACTGCTGGGTGTATATAAGCTCTGTCTCTCCATTGAGATTCAGTCTGAACAATCTTCTTGAACAAGCAACACCTCCTCCTCTGCCGCTGCCTGGCGACCCTCGCCTCTCCTCCGCCTGCCTGGCGGTCCTCGCTCCCGCCAGCGAGCATGTCCTTCTCTGAGCTTCCTCACCAACCAACTCTCATTCTGCCCATTGTCCTGAACAAGCAACATCTCCTCCAGCAAGCTCCACGCTGTTAACATTTCATTCAACCAGGAATCCAGCAACAGGCAACATCTTCTCTAACGAAGCTCCCGCACATCTACCTCCTTCAACAAGCTACTCACCGCACGTCTCTACCAAGCAGCCCCTCACCACACAGCACCTCCAGCACCAGACTGTCTATCATATATCTTATATTATACAAGAAAACCACATTAGAGTTTCCTTCCATCCTGAGTGCTAGACAACTTTAATATCTCGATACCCCTACAATGTCATTACTGCTTTGTGCAACGTGTCAGGTACGACTATTTGAGACACATTACCCTCAGGAGATTTTCTCGTCCTATTGAGTATGTTATGTCGTAATTAAAACTGACTTAAGGGAAGAAATAACTTGGGGAGTTTAACATCCTTACCCGATTCGAGAGCAAAAATAACAGCTGACCAATATGGGTCGTGTTGTTGCTCATCTTCCAGTTGCGAAAGAGTGAATGTTGATACAGGCATAACTGGTGTTATATTTCTTGACAGAGCGTCGGCGACAACATTCGCCCTCCTAGGTAAATACCTAAATTCGGGGTCAAACTCTTGAATTGTCAGATACCAGCGTGCTAATCTGCCTGATAAGTTTCTGCCATGGAACAGTTCGGTGACTGCCGCATGATCAGTAAAAACAGTTATCTTGTAGCCAAAGATAATGTCTTTGAACTTCTTAAGTGCCCACACAACGGCTAACGTTTCTAAATGCGTCACCGAATAACGTGTTTCAGCATCGATTAGTTTGCGACTTGCAAATGCTATCACTCTAAACTTCCTACGCGTATCCTCTTGTATGAGCACTGCTCCGACTCCAATTCCGGAAGCGTCAGTACAGAGAGTGAAAGGTTGAGTGTAGTCTGGGAATGCTAGAACCGGGGCATTGGTTAGCGCTGTCTTCAATACCGTAAAACTTTCTTTGTGTTCAGCATCCCATATAAACATTGCAATTCTTTTGAGCAACCTCGTTAGGGGCGATGCTAATGTTGCATAGTTCTTGATAAAGGAACGATAATAACCAGAGAAACCGAGAAAGCTACGCACATGATCATTTGAGGTAGGACGCGGGAACTGAGATACAGCTTTGACTTTATCATTAACTGTAAGTGACCATCGCTGAACTGCATAATCCAAGTGAGGTCTCACAAGTGCAAGATATAGTTTTAGGATTAACTCGCTAGTCTTGTAATAAACACTCCTTTGTATGAACCCAAGTACTTTTTTAGCCTTGTCTCAAGTAAATATGCATTGTTGTCTTGGGTTAAGATTCCTACTTCTCATTTCCCCGAAATCTTTCTCAGTTGGATTTCTCTATATCAACATTGATCATCTGATATCTGGTTTCTCTATTTACATCTCCTAGACTAAGTACTTTACATTTGTCCACATTAAATTTCATCTGCTATTTTTTCAGACCATTCCCAAAAAATTTTTTAGGCAATTTTCCTATAGTTTTGCGGAGTCCTTGTCAGATTTAATTACACGCCCCATTTTAGTGTCATCAGCAAATTTATATATGTTGCAGTCTATGCCTATACAGTCAGTCCCCGACTTACGACAGGGTTAGGGACCGACAACCAGGTCATGAGTCGAAAATGCGAAAATAATAGATAGAAAATCTAAAATGGGTGTCTCTTTTTCTTCTCAGCACCACGAGAACTCTCACTTTTACACTTGCCAGCCATTTCAAAGGGAATTACAAACGAAAATTTTGTCAGTATACAGCGCGATCACTAACGTCAGGACTCGAAAATACGTAATTTGAATTTTTTTTGTTAGACTGCGGCGGTCGTATGTCAGGGTGGTCTTAAGTCGAGTAGGTCATAAATCGAGGAGCGCCTGTATCTATGTTGTTTATGTATATAATATGCAGTAATGGTCCAAGTACGGAGCCTTGGGGTATTTCACTAGTGATGTCACCCCAATCAGATTTAGTGTCATTAATGCTGACTGTTTCCTGTCTTGTAACCACGCCCTAATCCCTGATGAGGTTTAGCAACAGAGGTTCCACACTCCTACGTTTGAACTCTTCTCGGCTCGGTTCACTTTCAACTTCCCATGGATGCACACACAAAATGGCAGCGAATTTCAATGATAGATTCCCTGAACTGCTTACGGAGTCTTTTGATTTTGGTTTGTTCAGTTTCCGTTCAAGACAGATGTGATTGTTTTGCACTCGAAATTGCAGAATTATAGGCTGATAATGAGGCAAGGGTGAATTTTGTTGTCTATGATGACATATCAAAGTTTTGGATTTCTTTATCAAAGAGACATTCGGCTATTAAAAATCGAGCTATCAAGGTTAAGGGACAATTTGGGAGCACCTATGTCTGTAAGGCAGCTTTCTCATCAATGGTGTTAATAAAAAATTATTATTGTATCAAAGTTAAACTTAAAAATGTTATGCTATATTGTTTAATCACATAATTATACTCCCAGTATGATGACAGTTGTAACTAAGAAAATTGTATGTTGTGTTGCTTAACCACATAGATATACACCAAGGCATAGAACATGAAATGATGATATAAACAGGTTACATATTAAATATGACAGTTGTAAGTGTTTCTGTATACTGTTCAATGATTGGCTTAGCTAGTCGGTTTGAGGGATTGCCTGGTTGGCCAGTGTGAAAACTTTCACCTGGGCCATTTGAAAAATGCCTTGTAGTCATCACTATGCCCGATGGTTGTCCAAGGAACATTATATGACTACACCCAACATTTGAGGGTTAATGCTGTAATGACTAAAGTAATGGTTGTTTCCAAATTATGGTAGGCAACAGGGAACTTAAATAAGTACAACATTTTGTGTATAGGGCAAGGAAAAACAACATATGATCTAAAAGGCCTAATGAAAATTAACTTAAATTTAAGAAAAAGGCTGCTAAAAGCCTTTATATGGCAAGGACTGATGTATGGGCACTTCAGCAGACATCAGAGGCCAGAGGTTGGAGGCCTTTCATATGCTAAGAATAAGCTTCACTGACAGGAAAACAAATGGAGTACTAAGATTAGCAAAAACTTCAAGAGAAATACAGAACTGGAAATGTACAGAAAAAGAAAATTGAGATACTGTACTTTGGTCATATAATTAGGGATGGGGAAAAAAATATTAATGGGCAAAGTTGAGGGTAGGAGGGCCAGGGGAAGGCAGAGACTGGGACGGATGAATTAAATTAAAAACTGGGTCCCAAAGATACAAAACCTTGGAGGATTGGTAAAAACAGCCCAGAAACTTTTAGAGTGAAGGACTGTGGTCACCAAACCTCAGATATGAAGACAGTACTCGGACTGAATCCATTCAGATAGCGAGTTACCTATAAATTTAGAGTTCTAGCCCATTGACCTTAATATCAATAGAAAACTTACTCTCCCTAATATAAGGGAAGCACTTAACCAATCTAATTTTCATTTGTTCATGGAAACTAAAGATATGGTTAAAAAAACAATGTTAACAGACAAGACAAACATACCATATAAAAAGAATATGAATAGAATAAGTAAAACAATTAGATCAAAATCATCATTATATTAGCAACATTACATTTTGCAACACAATACCATTTCCTCATACATACTTCCTTCCTTCACTCGACAAAATAATTTGATTTTAACAATATTTATATAAGTATTTACAAAATATAGATAAATGTGTCAGAAAACAAAGATTTCACATTAATTATTTTGACAGCAATATAAGAGAATCCATATTCTTAAAATTAAATCTGAACAAGTGGTTTTGCCTAATCTTGTATAAGGGAAGCCAATGATTATAGGCACTCAAATAAGACACTAATTTCCATTTTAGTTATAAGAAAGCTTATATCCACATTATTTTGTGAACCTGTAAAAGCAACCTTCATTTATGTAGGGAAATATAAAGCAGCATGTCAATAATCACAAATAAGAAATAAACCCTGCAACACAGCCTGTTTGCTTCTGCATAATCAACTTGAATAATGTGCCTTTTAGGGACCAAAAAAAACTAAAAAAGCACCATTACACAAGATGTTATGATGAAGTACTGACAATGGCATATGGTCAGCCATTCAGGTACATCTTTGGGCAACATATATTTAACATCTTAAACAGGCATTTTCCTTCACTTTTTTTTTTTTTATATATATATATAAGAAATTTTACAGAAAGCCAAAAATTACAGCTTATCTTTCAAATGTATATTCGTAAGTGGCACAATATTTATAATATTAACTATATGACAACTTCCTTTATAACAATATTTGGTAGTTATAAAACTAAACTTGGGCGCCCTTTCTTCGCCCAAAGAATTTAAAAACGGAGCCCTTTTTTTCTTTCTCCTTCTTGTTAGAAGACACAGGTACATCTCCCTCCGAGGAGCTTTCACTTAGACCTTGCCGGTCAATAGTTGCAGAATAACGGTGGGAGGGTATAGGTCCACTACCAGTGGTGACAGTGACTGAAGTACCAGAGGGAGGGAGACTACTACCCTGGGGCAGAGACATGGTGCGGGAAGAATACTCTGAATATGGCTGTGGGATACAAAAGAAAAGTCAATTAGCTTTTGCATTAACTTGAATGCAATTTTAGTAGCAAATAGAAAATTTTAGACTTCTAATTATTAATCCTACAGTACAAGAAATAATGTACAGTATGATAAAACTACCTTTTTGAAAATATTATTTCATACCTAAAGGCAATGGAAATAGGGTTAGTACATGTCACGGAAAATTTGATAAAAATACTTTGTAAAATGTTTCCCTACTAATTACACTCGCTAGTTTGAGACTTGAAAGACCTACTCAAAGGGCACCACTGCAGCACAGCACCTAAGACAGAGTCAACAGTGAGTAACTGTTACAGCTGGGTTTGTTCTTTATTGATAGGTAAGGAATATTAAGGAATGCAGACGGTAATTTAGGAATTCCATAACTTAATACACTAATGTCATAAACATACTGTATTTTGCTTCAGTAAAATAATGATACAACAAAGGGTACTGGGATGGTATAAAAAATGTATTAGTGTGAACCACAAACAACTATTGGCCTAGTTCATGTAAATACATAAAATTTTGATGGATATATGTATACAAATGTCCTTGACAAACCAATCTTGAAAAAATGCTGCAGCAATAAATTACATAATTCAATACAGTAATCAAGTTTTTCAAAAATTGCAAAAGCTTGTCATCATTTATTTTTGGAAAGAGAAAGATTTAAGCAATGAAGAACATGTTCTTAGATTCATTCCTTTTGTATATATTGAAATGATAAGGTTCAAAGGCCTAAAAATATAATAAGTACTGTACTCTAAATAATTTAAAATAGCATCATGCACCTCTTACTAAAGCTCCATATTCATTAACCCTCAGGCCCCGGGTAACATTCCAGAACATCCGCCTATTTTCCAGCCATTTTTTTTTTTAATTAATTTTGGAAATGTTGATTTTTTTCTCAATTTAACCCCATGTGGGGGGGGTACTGCCAGCAGCACCCTAACCCGGGGCTTAAAGGTTAAAATCACAAATAAAAATAATTAAGTGATATCTAATCTTAATTACCCATTTTGTTGCATACACAACACTGCCTCTATGATTCTAAGCTGAACCAAACATTCACTTATTCACACCAAGAATAGTCTTTCTTTGACCCCTTGTGTACAGGCCTTCTCTGACCTGAATAAAATCGTCTGGTGTTGGCCAAACAAAATATTAAAAATGGCATCCTCAGAGTGAAGGGCTAGGGGAGATAATCTTTAACTGAAAGATAAATTGTCGGATCCTCTTTTTTAAGGTTAATCTCAAAGAAGAATACACAGAATTGATTAAAGGAAAAAACCTTTGTATAAATGGGAAACACCATGCTAAAATGAAATGAGACAAGTCTTGTGATTTCATTCATCACTACATAAGCTCCTTATACAGTATACTGTACAATGCATATGACGTCCTCCCACATCTCTCTACCCCCATCCCCATGTCAACAAAAATGTAATTTTATTAATGTTTCGTAGGGCCCATAGAAATTGTAGCCCACTCAGGCACAGGTCATTGACCCACAAGAGGGCCTAAGGGACAAAAAAAAAAGAGCAAAAAGAAATTAAAAATAGAAAAGAAAAAGATTATATTAATCTACACCACGAAGATGCCGAAAAACCAGCATTCTGAAGTGAGACATTGTATGAGTATGGAAACACAAGAAGGCAAAGCATTCCACAGTTTGGCTGTGTGAGGAAAGAAGGATGTACTATAACGGGTTATTCTAGTGTGACCGACATCCATATAGAAACGGTGGGCACCGCAGGGAAGACAAGTACTACGAGCCCACGGACTTGGCGGCAGTACACAGGATGCCAAATCCTTCGAATATTGCCCGTTAAAGTACCTGTAAAAGAGAGGGAGTGAAGTAACATTGCGGCCAAGAGAAAGAGAAGAAAGATTATCAACTAAAGGAAGAGTCAATAAGATGAAATGCCTTTGATTCCACCCTATATAACAGTTGGACAGGAGAAGATCCACCCCAGATATGAGAACAGTAATCCAAGTTAGGACAAATAAATCCCTTATAAACTTGAAGTAATTACTCAGGATTGAAGTAGCTACGGCATCTGTACAGCATTCCCAGCTTTCGGGAGGCAGCTTTAGCAATGTTGTGGACGTGTGGCTTCCATGACATATTAGAGGAAATGGTGAGGCCTAGCATACAGTGAACCCTCGCTTTATGCGCTTTCACTTTACGCATTTCTACATTTACGTGGTACCCTGCCAGAACCGGAATGCCAGAACCCGAATTCCCACTTTACGCAGTGCATCTACTCATATACGCGGGTGACGTATAATTTTTTTATTTAGCTCATAAAATTCATAAAAATTACCCGGCATGAATATAATTTACATTGCTGGAATTCTTACAATTTGATGATCATTTTGAATATAAACATCATAGATTTTGCATTAGACATACAAATTTTAGATCTAATGTTTATTCTGAGTAAATATGTTATCTTTTGTGCAAAATATATGACGTGTATATTCAAAATATTCCTGGTCTTGCAAGGAATCCAGCAATGTGAACTATATTATCCTAACTTTAGTCTGAGGTATTATTTATTACTAAAAAGGTAAATATTCTGATTTCTCCCAAACATTTCTCTGGTAGGGAGGGAAGGTGGGGGGGTGGGGGGGACCGACCAACCCAGCTGGCATGGTGGGAAGAGGGGGGAGGGAGGGAGGGAGGGACCGACCAACCCAGCTGGCGTGGTGGGAAGAGGGGGGGGAGGCAAGGTGGGGTATTTTGATTGACAGATAGTGACGTGAAGAATATTTTTTTTTTTTTTTTATTAACTTTAGATATTTGTTTTAGCTCATAAAATTCATACAAATTACCCGGCCAGAATATAATTTACATTGGTGGAATTCTTACAATTTGTTAAACCATTTTGAATATAAACATCATAGATTTTGCATTAGACATACAAATTTGAGATCTAAAGTAAGTATTTTGTTTACTCTGAGTAAATATGTTCTCTTTTGTGCAAAATATGACATTTATATTCAAAATATTCCTGGTCTTACAAGGAATCCAGCAATGTCAATTATATTATGCTAACTTTAGTTTGAGGTATTATTTATTACTATACCTTAAAATCTAGTGTTTTCCCCCAAACATTTCTCAGAGAGGGAAGAGCCAGCTAATGTGAGAAGAGGGGGAGGGAGTCAAGTCCATTGTTTGAATGGACATTAACTTGGCGACTGTATTTCTCTATTTCTCTTAAATATTAATTGTGTGCGTGTACCATCATAAAATTAAGATGTTACTTTTACTAGAACATAGGTATTGTGTCGGAAAAAGTGGAGTTTGGGGGTCAGCCCGGTCTCTATTTCAATTAATCCCATATGTAATGTTGTTCACTTTACGCGTTTCTCTTTACGCGGGCCTCCGTGGGTTCAATTGACCGTGTAAAGTGAGGGTTCACTGTATATATTTTAGAATTTGGGAGAATGATTGTGTCCTGAAATGTGATTGGTGGGAGATCATCTAATTTGGAAAGTGTAACTGGTACATACTGAGGTTATATCTGTTGTCGAAGTATTAATATTTCTTGTAACACTTACTATATTTACAGTACCTGCTTTTATTGTACCACCAAATCAGTTTTATTGGAAATTATCATGTAAATAAATAAGTAATTACCATTGCAATACACATAATTGCCAACTAGACATAATCCTGAAAGCTCTGTCCTCTTGTTCAACCTTATTACTGCACAACCCAGGTTGTACTGCTCCCCCATTATACTGTACTTATGTTTTTAAATTCCAAAAAAAAAAAAAAAAAAAAATTATATATATACAGTCAACCCTCACTTTACGCGGTCCCACATTCCGCGTTTCCACGTTTACGCGGTGCCCTGCCAGAACCCAGGATGCTCACATTCCGCGGTGGGTGTACCCCTTTACACGGGTGAAGTATAATTTTTTTATTTAGCTCATAAAATTCATACAAATTATCCGGCCAGAATATAATTTACATTGCTGGAATTCTTACAATTTGATGATCATTTTGAATATAAACATCATAGATTTTGCATTAGACATACAAATTTTAGATATAATGTTTACTCTTGAGTAAATATGTTATCTTTTGTGCAAAATATATGATATTTATATTCAAAATATTCCTGGTCTTACAAGGAATCCAGCAATATCAATTATATTATCCTAACTTTAGTCTGATTTATTATTTATTACTAAAAAGGTAAACAGTCTGATATTCCCACACATTTATCTAGTAGGGACGTTGGTGGGGGGTGGGGGGAGGGAGGGAGGGACCGGCGACCGACCATCTGTTACCGTGTGAAGAATATTTTATTTTTTTATTAACTGAAGATTTTTATTTTAGCTCATAAAATTCATACAAATTACCCGGCCAGAATATAATTTACATTGCTGGAATTCTTACAATTTGATGATCATTTTGAATATAAACATCATATATTTTGCATTAGACATAAAATTTTTAGATATAATGTTCACTCTGAGTAAGTATGTTATCTTTTGTGCAAAATATATGACGTTTATATTCAAAATATTCCTGTTCTTACAAGGAATCCAGCAATGTCAATTATATTATCCTAACTTTAATCTGAGGTATTATTTATTACTATACCTGGTTTTCCCCCCAAAATTTCTCAGAGGGAAGAGCCAGTGAGTGTACTGTGAGAAGAGGGGGAGGGAGTGGAGTCCATTATTTGAATGGACATTAACTTGGCGACTGTATTTCTCTATTTCTCTTAAGTATTAATTGTGTGCATGTACCATCATAAATTTAAGATGTTATTTTTACTAGAACATAGGTATGTGGAGTGGGTTTGAACAGGTTGATTAAATCCTGGTTATGTTGTCTTCACTTCACAGCGTTTCTACTTTCTCCAGTACCCTCAGATTTACATTAACAGCGTAAGTGAGGTTAAATATATATATATATATATATATATATATATATATATATATATATATATATATATATAT